ATCCTCAGAACTACAGCATGGCCAAGCCTGCCATGACCCCACACTGCCTCATTTCTGAGCAACAAGTTGTTCCTGTAACTGCTGCATTCTCAAATGCATGAGGCTTCTCCAGGGAAAAGGAAAGGGCAAGGAGCAGAGCCCATCTCAGGAGGGCTGAGCACCTGTCCAGGATACCAGGAAAATAAAACTGTCCCAAAGCTATGTTGCTCCTCCTATCCTCTTTAACATCTTTTCCTCCATCAGGATGGTTCTTGATAGGAATCAGCTTCTGGAGCACATAAAGCTGCTGTGGAGTTGCACCAGGAGAGGTGGCTTGTCACAGACATCTTTTATGAAAAATCTTTTCTTTAAGATTTTTCTTCCTGAGAAGCTGAGAAGCCTCAGGAACAAAATGTAAACAATGGTTATCTGCTGCTGTGGAATGCAACGGGTGCATCTGTGATTGGCCTGTGTGGTTGTTTCTAATTAATGGCCAATCACAGTCAGCTGGCTTGGACAGAGAGCCAAGCCACAAGCCTTTGTTATTCATTTTTTCTTATTCTATTCTTAGCTAGCCTTCTGAAGAAATCCTTTCCTCTATCCTTTTAGTATAGTTTTAATATAATATATATCATAAAATAATAAATCAAGCTTTCTGAAACATGGAGTCAGATCCTTGTCTCTCCCCTCAACCTGAGACCCTTGTGAACACCGTCACAGTGGCTCTGGTTGCCCTCCCAGCTGCCAGGACTCAAGAGGTGTCTCCATACAGGCACTGCCATCTATGTCCATCTCCACAAAGGGTTAGTGAGATCTGACATGGCCAATGCAAGAGAAAACCACTCCATGCAGGACCTGAAGGAATGTCAGGATGTTATGCTGAGGGGAGATTTGGGTTGGATAATAGGAAAAAGTTCTTCCCCTGCAGAAGTGGTGGAGCACTGAACAGGTTCCCAGGGAATGGGCACAGCCCCAAGGCTGCCAGAGCTCCAGCAGCATTTGGACAATGCTCTCAGGGATGCACAGGGTGGGCTTGTTGGGGTGTCTGTGCAGGGCCAGGGGGGCTGGACCGGATGATCCTTGTGGGTCCCTTCCAGCTTGGGGTATTGTGTGATTCTATGATTCCATGATACCTGGGAGGGCAGACAGCCATCAGACAAGCCAGACAAGCCTGGAGAGCAGTGTGGATGTCAGGCTGATACTGGCAGCAAGGGCAGTCATCACTATCACTGGCAGCTCCCAGCTCCTTCAAATTCCCTGTGTGTGACCCCCACTCAACAGCAATCCCACACCACATCCAGGTGGTTCAGTTCAGTAACCAGGACACTTGGGGGGGGGTTCCACCTTTTCCTTTCTGAGGCTATTGTGGGTGAGCTGTGAGACCCTGCATAAAGGAATCACAGATCACAGCAAATGTCCTGGTTGGAAATGAGAGGAAAAAAATACATACAAGGATTACATGCAAGAAATGGCTTTCCTGCACCCTCCACAAAACCATTAAACAGGTTCTAGTAGGCTCATTTTATAAAGCTGGAAAAGAAATACAAAGCTGGTAAAGAAATGTGATGCTGCTGCGTAGTACAGACCTGACTGAAGGTACTTCAGATATGAGCCTAAGTGTGCAGAGAGCTTTTTGCTCTCTGGCTCCCACAGACTCAAAAAGTGACCCCAACCCACCACCAGGAATTAGGGGGTGAGGTGGGGCCTCATCAGGGCCATGGGGATGCCTGACCCCTGCTCTGGAACATTGAAAGATCCTTTAGTGGCACTGCAGGCTGTGAGCAGGATGTGGATGTGCCATGGATTGTAGGTGATCCTGTGCAGCCTGGAGAGGCCACGTGCTCCCAGGCCTCAGGGGTTCTCCTGTTCTCTCCATTCCCTTCACAAGCCTAAATGCATTATTTAACTTCTCTCTAAAAGGCTGGGGCAGAGGTTTGCCTGAAATGATTATTGCTACTGCTTGCAGAATTAAACTGTGGATTAAAATAGGTTTTATTTAATTAACATGAATGAAATAAATGTTTGTGTCTGAATCAGTCTCAGGAGAGGTCCCAGATCAGACAGTGCCAGTAAAACTGACTGACCTGTGCTTTTTCCAGCAGGATGAGCACAAAAATCTCTCTGTGGCATCTAGACAAGATTTCTTAATCTCCTTAGCCTGTCTCAGGGACAGGCATAGCTGCCAACAGTGCAGGGGCTGGGATTGCAGGGCTGGGTGGTTAAAATTGTGCTTGGGTTCCATGTTCTAGTGGAAGTGAAATCAGCCTGGGATTGGGTGAACAAAGTACCACAAAGTCCTGGATATTGCTCTTCCTCAGGTCCTGCTGCTGCCCTCACTGACACACAGCCCAAGTGCCCCAATCCTGATTATCCTCGTGCCAGCTGGCCTGTGGACAGCTGCATGCAGAAAACCTAAAAATTCCAAGAATTGCTCCATCTGAGTGCTTGCAAATCCAGCTCTAAAATCCTCATGCACCACTTGTGTCCTGGCTGTCTGTGGGTGTGATGGCAGCTAAGTGCTGAGGCAGAGAGAAGGAAGCACAGTGGGATGATCTGCCAAACCTGTTTATCCCACATTTTTCCTGAAAAGTGTGTGCCCACTGATCCCAAACAATGCATCCCTCAGCCCTTCCCTTATCTTATTCCTTTATGGAAGTGTGGCAATCAAGAGGGGAGGGAGTTCAGTGCCACCCATCTCCTCTCCCAACACAAGGCAATCACCATGAACCAGGGCTCACTTCCAGTGTGTTCCATAGAATCATGGAATCATTAAGGCTGGAAATGCTCTCTAATTTCAAGTCTAACCATTAACCCAGCACTACTGTGTTCACCACTGGCTCAGATGAGGAACAGAGTGTCCAGCAGGCCCAGGGCAGTGACTGTCCCTCTGTGCTGGGACATGTGAGGCACCTCCAGCCCTGGGCCCTCACAGCAAGAGACACTGAGGAGCTGGAGCACATGCAGGGAATGGAACAGAGCTGGGGAAAGGAATGGAGCACCAGGAGTGGCTGAAGGAGCTGGGAAAGGGACTCAGCCTGGAGCAAAGGAGGCTCAGGGGGAACCTTGTGGCTCTGCACAACTCCTGACAGGAGGGGACAGCTGGGGGTGGTCGGGCTCTGCTCCCAGGGAACAAGGACAGGACAAGGGGAAACAGCATCAAGTTGTGCCACAGGAGTTTCAGGTTGGACATCAGGAGGAATTTCTCCACTGTAAGGGTGCTCAGGCCTTGGAAGGGGCTGCCCAGGGAGGTTTGGAGTCCCCATGCCTGCAGGTGTCCAAGGAATACCTGGACATGGCACTCAGTGCCATAAGCTGGGTGACACAGTGGGGTGTCACAGCATATGTTGGAGTCGAGGGGGCCACAATATACAGAACATCACCACACAATTTCAGAAAGCTTTAAGCATTTGCTCAAGCAGAGTAACACCTTACCTCATCAGAAAGCTTCAGGCATCCGCCCATACAGAGTAACACTGTGTCACTCCAGAAAACTTCAAGCAGCTCTTTGCTGTTTTACAGTACAACCTTTTATACTCTTCATGCCACATGCACTGCACCTGTGTGCCCTCTGTTCCCTTTGGTGGTTGGTCAGTGCCCCTGGGCACTCCATGGCTCATTGCTGTCAGTGCTGCTCACCTGCTGCTCACAGCTGTGCCCATTGGGGCTCAGCCCCACTCCCAAACACCACAAACTCTGTGCTTACAACACTGGGCATTGGTCACAGGTGGGACTTGATGAGCTTGGAGGTGTTTTCCTCCCTCAATGATTCTGTGATTTTGTAAGCTATGTCCCAAAGTGTCCCATTGACACACCTGAACCCTTCCTTTTGCAGCAGCACCCAAACACCCACACAACCAAACAGGGAACACCCAGTCTCTATCCTGCAGTTGTTTCTGTTGCCAAATCAGGTGGAAACACACAGAAAAACGCTGGGAAACTCTGCATTAATCCCTTTTTTTGACTAACCATACTGCTTCTCCAGATCTTTTTATTCCAGCTTTCCCATTTAACCACCTGCTGCTGTTACATCCCTGAAGATACAAACCAGAGGTTTCCCTGCACCAAATCATACGGTGGTGTAGAAACCCAGCAGTCCAGAACATTCCTAAAGGACTTTGGCTCTGTAAAAACGAGTCCTGAACCACTTGAGTCCCAAGGCTGAGTCAAAGGTGAGTGTTAGTTTTCTTATTGCCACATGGGATAAGAGGAGTAAGAAACTGTAGTGCTGTATTAGTCATTCTTGAGATAGTCATAACTATTATTTGTACAATAGTTCAAGGGCTGAACTATAACCTGTTGGAATGTTTAGGAACTGATTGAGGAGAGGGGAGCAGACAGGGAGCAGGCAGGGATAGGTGAGAGGGCACAAATTGTATATTTATTATAGAAAATGTAGATATATTTTATTTATGCATGTATAGATAGAGGGTTATATGGGGGTATATGTGTAAAGTCACATAAACCACCCATGAGTGTATGAAACTATACAGTCGTGTTATTCCAGGGCAGAATGGATTCAAATTGAAGGAGTAGGTTTATATTAGATATTAGGGGGAAAAAAAATTCCCTGTCAGGGTGGTCAGGCCCTGGCACAGGTTGCCTAGAGAAGCAACCTGTGCCCAACTCTGGACGTCTTCAAGGCCGGTATGGACGGGGCTTGGAGCAACCTGGGATAGTGAAAGTTGTCCCTGCCCATGGCAGGGGTTTGGAATGAGATGGGTCCAAACTATTCCACGATTCCATGGTGATCCTTCCACATAAGAATACACCCACAAAGGCGCAGCTCTGTGTACAAAACATTCTCTAATAAACCATAATTAGATGGCTAATAGCATTTACCCGTAAACACCAATAACCACCTGAACTCGCGCCCGTTGCGGCAGCGGCGGTGCCTGGCCCGCGGCGGGGCGGGGAGGAGGCGAATCCAGCCCCGGAGCTCCGGCGGTGCCGGGGAGGAGGAGGTGAATCCAGCCCCGGAGCCGCCCCGGCCGGGCGGGGCCTGGGCCCAGCGGAGCCGCCCCTGCAGCCGCGGCCCGGCCCGGCATGAGGCTGAGCCGGGCGGCCGTGCTGGCACAGGCCAAGGCGGCCGCGCTCGACGGCGTCCGCCGCCTCAACTGCTGGTGGGCGCGGGGACAGCAGGGACAGGGGGCCGGGGGACGGCAGGGATGAGGGGGGGACAGGCAGGGGTGAGGAAGGAGGACAGGCTCGGGTGAGGCTGAGAGGACAGTGATGGAGGAGGGACAGGCAGGCCTGGGCTGGGGGCACAGGCTGGGATCAGGAGAGGGGACGGGCAGGGATGGATGAGGGGTGGCAGGGCAGGATGGGGAGGGGACAGGAAGGGATGGAGGTGGGATAGGCAGAGCTGGGGAGGAGGGACAAGGATGAAGGGAGGGCAGGAAGGAGGGAGCTGGGTGTCAGGGATAGGGAAATGGGACAAGGATGGAGGGAGGGAGCTGGGTGTCAGGCAGGGATGGGAAGCTGGGACAGGGCTGGGTAAGGGCACATGGGCAGGAATGGGGAACAGGCAGGGCTGGGGAAGGGGAGGCAAGGCAAGGCCCATGGCAGACTGTGCTGGAGCAGTTTGGTGGGGCCAGGCTGGGGGCTGGGGCTGTGAACCCGGCTGTGGGGGGTGCAGGGGGAGGCTGAGCCCTGCTGTGCTCTCCCTGACTCCCCTCTCCTCTTGCAGGGGCAGCCACCTGACGGATGTAAGTACTGGAGGAGCCAGAGGAGCCTGGGCCCACAGCTAGAGTGGGGACACCATGGAGGCCATGGGGTTGGCAGGGCACTGGGGAGGGCCTGGCTTCGGGCTGGCCTGGTGCCTGTGAGCTGCAGGGCTTTTCAGGCTTGATTAGCATCTCACACCATTGAAAAGGAAGTGATTGCTGCTGTTTCCACATTGGAAAATTTCTCTCCGAGGCCCAGCATGGAGTCTCGGAGAGCAGGACCCTGAGTCCTGCCTCTGGTGATTTTGGATGAGGTTCTGTTGCTAGGGGAGGGCTGGCAGGGGTGGGAGGGAGCCTTTCTTGCATGTGGAGGCTGCAGAGTTGCTGGAGCAGAACAATGTGACACTGGCTGGTATCTGCACTTCCACTCCTGAGCACAGGCTGGAGGAGCTGCCGACACTGCACTGTGTCAGAAAATCTCTGATGTTGTTAAGCTCAGGTTAGACTGAAGTAAACCCAAATTCCTGATGGTGCTTTTTGTGATTTCAATTTGGTTTATTTCTATTGTCCCCCATGAGTGCCAACTTGTTGTTTCTGTCTCTCCCTGCCCAGATATCAATATGCCGGGATTTGCCCAACATCGAGGTGATCACGTTCAGGTGAATGCCAGTTTGCCAGCTTTGGAGAGAGCAGGGAAATCACCTCACCTTTTCCTGGGGATGGCTTCTTCCCATGTTGCTGGGCTTGTGTGTGTGAGCTGCCTGGCGCTTTGTGCCCTATTTCTGAAACAGCAGAGATACAGACAGGATTATTCCTCAGCAGCTCCTCTGCACTGCTCCCTGTGCTCTTGAGAAAATATTCTCTGTTTTGACGAGTGATAAAACCCCTTAGGATTGTTGCTTCTGAAATTCTACTCCATAGTTTCGACAGGGATCTTCTTGGCCTCTCTATGTGGCCTGTTTCCAAAATACTTGTTGAAATATTTAGTGGATCTCTCAAAGCTTTCCCTTTCCATAATATGCTCAACTTTCACCTGTCCTGGGGATCCCATGGAGTGAATCTCTGTGAATTGGAGCCTTTTCACTTGGGAATCTTTCGTGAGTTCTCCTTGGGTGGGTCTGAGGAGCTGCTACAGAAAAGGGGGCAGGTTTGGGGGAAGAAGAGGCTCTTTGTCATCCTCAGCAGGGTGGAGCAAGGGCTCTTTCAGTTCTTCCCTCTGCTGACAAAGATGAAATGCCACAAGCCGTGGGCTGAACGCCCCTTGCTGTGCCCTGCTGGGGTGAGGCAGTTGCAGGAAGGGGCATGGGGCAGGATGGGCTCTGACTGTGTCTCCACAGCGTGAATGGCATCTCAGACCTCGAGCCGCTGCACCAGTGCCAGAACCTGAGCGAGCTCTACCTGAGGAGGAACAACATCAGGAGCCTGGATGAGCTGTTTTACCTGAAGACGCTGCCGCGGCTGCGGGTGCTGTGGCTGGCAGAGAACCCCTGCTGCGGGCCCGACCCGCACCGCTACCGCATGACCGTGCTGCGCAACCTGCCCTGCCTGCAGAAACTCGACAACCAGGGTGGGCTCTGTCCCCTGCACACAGCCCTGGGCTGCCAGGGTGGGCTTTGGTCACCTGTACACAGTCCTGAGCCACCAGGGTGGGCTCTGTCCCCTGCATGCAGCCCCGGGCTGCCAGGGTGGGCTTTGGTCACCTGCACACAGCTCCGGGCCACCAGGGTGGGCTCTGGCCACCTGCAAACAGCCCTAGGCCAGTGCCACCTGGGAAATGGGGATGTGTTGGCTCCTCTCGAGGGCGTCCTTTGGGTTTTGCTAGTCAGGGGATGTTAGGGGTTAAGTTAGATCTGGCGCTTCTAAGCTGTTTTCTCTCTGTCTTCCCTTTTCATTTATCTTCCCCTTTCCCATCTGCCTCCTCTTCCTCCTTCCCTTTTTCCCTTCCCTATCCCTATCCCCTTTTCCCTCTCCCCTTTTCCCCATCTCCTCTTCCCCATCCCCTTTTCCCTATCGCTTTTTCCCTTGCCTTTTCCCTTGCCTTTTCCCTTCCCTTCCCTTCCCTTCCCTTCCCTTCCCTATCCCTTCCCTATGGTAACAAAACCGAGTGCCTCATTATAGCTTGGACAGTACCACTAATTAGTGGTTTTTAGAGCTCTCTCTTTGCTGTGGCCAGACAAAGGTTCTATAACTGGATCTGCTGCTGTAGAAAAGCTTCTCTGTTTTCTTTTTCTTCCATCCAGTAGCAGAAATTTGGTTGCTTTCGGAGCCTTCTCCAGAGACAAGAAATAGTAAAGCACGTTTGCATCCCTCCCTGATACCCTTCTCGCTTTGGGAGGCTGGTGATTGCTTCCAGCATTCTCCTGCACTCTCTGCAGCAGCAGAACCTGCCCTGCTAGAGATGCCATCCCCTTGGGCTGCTGCAGTTCATAGCAACAGGCATTTGCTGTGTCCCTTGCAGCTGTGACAGAGGAGGAGCTGTCGCAGGCGCTGGTGGATGGCGTGGAGATCACGGCGCCGCCGGCCCGCAGCCCCGTGGAGAACGGCTGGTCCAGCACCGCTGGAGCCACCACGGAGCCCCAGAGCCAGCTGCTCAGCTGCTGCCTGGAGGACACCAGGTGAGGGCTGGGCAGCTGCCAGCATGGCTGGGATGCTGAATTTGTGTGTAGCAGGAAAGGAGCCTGAGGTTCCAGGGGCCAGGCCCGCAGCCGGTGCAGCTTCCCACTGTGCTGGTTGCTGCAGTGGAGCTGTGCTGGTTCTCTGGGGCTGGTTGGGGGTGGCTTGGGCTCATCAGCTGCTTGTGCAGGCAGGGCTGGATCCTCTCCATTCCCTGGGGTCCTGCAGCTGGATTCTCCTTGCATGGCTGCCTGTGATGAGGAAAGATCGGCCTGGCAATTCTCCCACCTGGTCATAATAACATTTCGTTTTCCTCCCTTTTTTTTTAGCAAAACTCAGGATGAGCTTGATATGAAGCTTGTTCCCAGGGATAAATACTCCTCCTTTTCCACTCAAGAGACAGACTGCAGCTGCAAGAAGAGTGTGAGTATCTTTTAAAGACCAAATTGCTTTTCCTTGTACACGGGGCTGAGCCCCAGCGTTAAAGGATGTGAAGAACTTTGGATGTCCCCAGAGGAGGGGAACAGAGCTGGAAGAAATGTCCAGGAGCAGCTGAGGGCTCTGGGTTTGTTTGATTTGAAGAGAAGGAGGCCAAGGGGTGACCTCATGCTTCTCTGCAGCTTCCTGAGGAGGGGATATGGGGAAGGGGTGCTGAGCTCTTCTACCTAGGATCCAGTGGTAGGAAACAAGGGAATGGTTCAAAGCTGTGCCAGGGCAGGTTCAGACTGGACATTAGAATGTGTTTCTTTAGCAAGAGGAGGGTCAAACCTTGGGAAGTGGCTGCTGAACAGGAAGCTTAAATGGTTCCTCAGCCCCCTCCATCATGTAGCCTTGGATGAATCTGGATTTTGGTGGTTCAGCTGGGAATTGCAGAGTGCTGGACTCGGTGCCATTGCATCAATCAGCAGAGCAAGATCTAACCCACACTGCCTCACTCTGCCATAGCTGCCTAGAGTAGCACCACAAGCTCTGACCTTTAAAAATGGGGGAAGTGGCCCCCCATTGCAGCTGAAGAGGTTCAGGTTGGATGTTGGGCAAAAGATTCTCCCTAGAAGGACAGCTATTTAGGCTGTGGAATCTCTCCCTGGAGTTCTTCAGGACATGATTTGACAGAGCCACGACCTGGCATTGGCACTGGTCCTGTGGTGGTGGCAGGGCTGGGGAGTTTCAAGGGTCCTTTGCAGAGAGCACCAGCTCTCCTCATTCCTCAGAGCAGGGCTGTCCTTTCCCATCCTACACACACTGAGAGCGAGTGCAGCCGCTCCTGGCTGTGCCTTTCCTGACAGAAGGCAGGCTGGAGCGTGGCCGGCAGCCAGAGGCTGTGGGCAGAGCAGAGGATGGGTTTGTCCTGCATTCCAGCCTCGTCACGTGCCTCTCCCTGCCTGTGTTTGCCCCGAGGGCTCGGCTGTGGGTGTTAGTCCCGGTCCCATGGCTGCAGGTGGCTGCTCCAAACTGCTGCCTGTCGTGGTGGCGGTGGCGGTGGTGGTGGTGGTGGAGGAGTTCCTAGAAAGAGCAGGGAAAATGGAGTGTCCTTGTCCTGGCTGGCTGGTCCAAAGCACTGTGTGCCTTATCCCAACAGAACAACGTCCTGGATGCCATCCTGCTTCTCATGAAGGAACTGGACGCAGAGGAGCTGGAGATCATCCAGCAGACGGTGGCCAGGAGGCTCCAGGCCTTGCAGAAGAAGGAGCTGCAGGAGGAGTGACAGCAGCCATCCCCCCTTCCAGCCTCCCTGGAGCCCCAGCCCCACGGTGCTGTCCTGCCCACACCCCTGGCTGCAGCCGAAGCCTCGGGCATGGCATGGGATGCTGCTTCTCTGGAGATTTCCTGCCACTGCAGCAGGCTCTGACACTGTGCCCTGCATGGCTGGGGCTCTTGGGTGGGAGCTGCAGGCAAATCAGCAATGCTGGAGGGAACAGGGCTGCAGCCAGAGGTGCTGTGTGATCCGAGGGGGAGCAGAGCCTGCTGATGGCTGGGAGGGACTCTGCACAGCACCTCTGAGGGCAGTTTGTACCTCAGAGATCCTGTTTGGTGGAGTCTGACAGGGAGACGTTGCCTGAGATGGTCACCAAGACCTGTCTGTGCAGGTAGTGAAGGTCAATGTCCAGTTATTAATTTATTTTCCAGCTCCTGGCTGACTTCCTCAGGTCCTTCCTGGTGCATGCAGTGCCTGCCGGTCAGGCAGCCCAAAGGGAAGCTCAGAGCAGCCTTGGTGAACCAGGAATGACTCCCACATCCTGAATGCTCAGCTGTACTCTCACCCCAGCATTCCCTGCAGGCATTAGAGCAGCTTAAAGAAACATCCCAGTTAAAAGGCCCTGAGCATTCTGCCTGCTTTGCACAGGCATCAGGGGCGGGTGTTGCTCTTTAACTGATAAAACTGCATTTACCACGTTTTGTAGAGCTGTTAAGAACAAACTAAACCGTTGTGACATACCAAATAAACCCAATTATCCCTCAAGGCCGTGTGAGTGGTGGCTGGAGTTCAGCAGTGGCCTGGCTGGGGGCACTGCTCCATTACCTCTGGTTCAGGGAGTGCATTGTGAGCCCTGTGGAGGAGGAGGAGGGCTGTGCCTTCCCGCTTCACTGCGCCTCTGGAACGGTGAGCCTGCTCCCAGCACTGCCTGCAGGGCCACTGGGCTGCCTTACAACCTTCCTGCAGCCACAGCAAAGGCAGGCAGCAAAAGAGGTGCTGAGCAAAGCAAAAGAGGTGCAGAGCCACCTGGGCAGGATGTGTCCCTCAGATACAGGACACGGGGCTTCCGTGTCTCCCAGTGCTGCACTGGTGACGTGGCTGTTCCATGGCCCCCTGTCCCTGTGCAGTGTCCAGGCTGTGCTACCAGGAAGGAATGCTCCTCAGGGATGGTGACAGCCTGCTTGTGTCCACAACGCTGTTTGCCTGACCTTGGTGGGAACAGGCACAGCTTGACCCTCATCACTCAGGGGGAGATTTGCTGATGTCTTTAACTCCTCTAAAGACCTTTGTTCTTGCCTTTTGCGTTAAACCCAGCTGCGCTTGTGTGATTTATGATGTCCCAGACTTTGACATCCAGGGCCTGGGAGACTCACCCTGCTGAGTGCAAGTCTTCTCCCAGGCCCCTGGCCTGTCCATGTCAAGGAACAAGGGAGTTGCTGTTGGGGTGAGCTGGATCCCCAGCTTCTCTGGGATGTGAGTGATCAAAGGAAGTGTCCATCAGGACCTGGTCATGGGGCTGGTGGAGCAATCACTGTGCCCTTGAGGCCACACTGACACAATTCCTGGAGAAGCTGGGCTGTTTTTTGCCTATGTGCTCGTCGTCCTTGGCTGCTGCTGGTGCTGCCCTCGGGGCTCCCAACTGCTCCTTGCAGCATCCCAGCAAACCCCAGTGGGAGCTCAGCCTCTCCAGGGCCCTGGCAGCCTGCCTTCCCCTGCAGGATGCTTCTGGAGGCTTGCTCTGCCCTCTCTTCAGGGTGGGCTGGATGTGCTGGGAATCTGGGAGCACAGTCACGCCCCTCCTGCTCATCCTCGGAATTCAGTGGCTGTTCCTGTCCCTTTTCTCCCAGGAATTTGGCCCTCCAGGTATTTTTTTTGGTGGAAATGAGGTGTGGGGGCTGCAGTGACTCCTGTCCCTCAACATGCAGCTGGTCCCCATTCACACCCTAAACCTGTTTGCTGCAGGGCAGTGCTGCAGACAGATTTTCCACATGACCTGCTGTCACCCTGCCCTGCCTCCGCTGGGAATATCGAGCGGTGAATGCAGACAATTCCAGCTCTGGAAAATGCCAGCAGCTGTACTGAGCTGTTCCTTTCAAACCACCCTCAGAGACCAAGAGGCTGCTGGTGAGGCAGGTGTGAGGTCCACGGCTGAGGGAAGGAGTGGGCTGGGGCTCCCCCAAAGTGGAGTGGCACATGGGAGAGTGGAAGAGGCCATTTCCCACCCAGGAAATGGAGCTCCAGGAGAAGCCAGGTCTGCCTGGGGTCTCCAAAGCAGATAGTCATTTACAAGAGCAGCAATGCTGCCTCCATCAGCAAGGTTTGCTGCTACTTATGGGTCCAGAGAGGAGATAAAAGTGACCATCTTCCTCCAGAGCCTAAGATGGGTTTAGTCAGGGGAAAAGCACTGAAATAATGGAATGGTTTTGGGTGGGAAGAGACCTGGAAGCCCATCTCATTCTACTCCCTGCCATGGGCAGGGACACCTTCCACTAGCCCAGGTTGGTCCAATCTGGCCTTGGACACTTCCAGGGATGGGGCAACCACAGCTGCTCTGGGCACCCTGTGCCAGGGCCTCACCACCCTCACAGCCAAGAATTTCTTCCCAATATCCCATCTAACCCTAACCCACTGGCGGCAGTGGGAGGCCATTCCCCCTTGGTGTGTCACCCCAGGCACTTGTCCAAAGTCCTTCTCCAGCTTCCTTGTTGGCTCCTTCAGGTACTGACAGTGAGGTCACCCCTCAGCTTCCCCAGGCTGAACACTCCCAGCTGTGCCAGCCTTTCCTCCCAGCAGAGCTGCTCCATCCCTCTGCTCACCCTGGTGCCTCCTCTGGGCTCTCTCCAGCAGCTCCAGCTCCTTCCTGTGCTGGGCCCCAGGGCTGGGGCAGCTCTGCAGGTGGGGTCTCACCTGAGCAGGGCAGAGGGGCACAATCCCAACCCCTTTCCTGCTGCCCACCCTGGGATCAGCCCAGCACAGGGGGGTCCTGGATGGGGCATGGCCAGCCCTCACCACCTGCAGCCCCAAGTCCTTCTCCAGGGCTGCTCCCTCTGCTCATCCCCAGCCTGGATTGATCCCAGGGGTTGCCCTGACCAGGGGCAGCACCAGCACTCGGTGCTGTCGAACCTCAGGAGATTCCCATGGGTCCCTTCTGGAGCTTGTCCAGGGCCCTCTGGATGGCCCTGTCCTTTGGGAGTGTCACTGTCACTGCACCCTCAGCCTGGTGTCACTGCAAACCTGCTGAGGGTGCCCGACCCCTCTGTGCCAGTGATGGAGACCTCAAATATCACTGGTGCCATGGGACATCACTGATGGCCACTGTGAGCCACTGCCCCTCTGGATGTGACCATCCAGCCAATCCCTGATCCATGTGACAGCCCATCCATGGAACCCAGCTCTCTGCAATGCAGACAGAAGGATGTTGGGTGGGACATAGAAACCCTGTATAGAAACCAGGATAAATGTCATCCATAACCTTTCTCTTGCCTCTGCCTCCATCAGAGAAAGGGAGGGGGCAAGTCAGGGGCAACTTTCACTTGGGGACAGCTCCATGGGGAGGACAAAATGCTTGACCCCAAAGGCTGTGATGCATGCTGATGCAGTCCCACAGGCTGGAGCCGTCAGCCAGCAGCCCCAGGAGGGAAGTGGCCTGGGAAAGGGGCTCCCTGTGACCGTCTGGCACGGCCTGAGCATGCAGAGCTCGGCCAGGCCAGCACGCTTGGCCAGAAGTGTGAGAAACTGCCTCACAAACAAGCACAGCACCACCCGAAAGCACTTGCGTGGTTCCCTGGAGGTGGGAACCCAGTGATTTTTCTCTGGGATCACAAAGCAGTTGCGAAAGGATGCTGACCTTGCACCCACCATGACTTGGACAGGGAGGAGAAGCCGCCTGTGGTCCCACTCTCCCAGGCTTTGAGGATGCACAAAACCAGGGAATGTCTTGGTCCAATGTAGCAGGCACAGGGCCTGCTAGGGCCCCGTGGAAGGCAGAGGCCTGAAGATAAGAAATGCCAAGCCCATTTTCCACCTTTCAGACCCCAGCTTATCTCTCTGTAACCCCACAGGTCACTTCTCCTTAACCCCTCTATTGGACAATTTTGGATCCCCCTCTATCCTATGTAATGAGCTGTTTTAGCCCATTCTGGTTAGAAGAGCTGTTGCTGGAACCCTTTGCAGGACATCCAATAAAGACATCACTGTGGAATGCCAGAATAGCCTTCTTCTCTCTCGCCCTGAGTCTGCTGGCCTGCCTGCAGTACCTTGCAAGCCAGGAGCTGGAATCTCAAAGAGCTGATAATCACTGAAAGAGCTGAGATCCCTTAAGCTTGCTAAGGTTGCCAGCGGCTAAGAGCTGCTTGGGTTTTCAGGAGTCTGTACCCATAAAAGACTGAGCTATCTGGCCTTGCAGCCTGCCTGGGGGGCAAACCAGCCCAACATTAACCCAGCTTGGGAAACCCATCAGGCTTTGGTGTTCCCCCCACCCCAGCCCTGTCCTGCCACCTGTTCCCCCCACAATGACCACTCCAGGAGGCAGGTTTGGCTCCAGCAGGTTTTATCTCTAGAGGAGAGGAGCAGCGCTGCGGGCGGTGCAGGATGCAGGGTGAGGTGACGGACACGGCGCCCACAGCCACGCGGTGACGGTCGCAGCCAAGCGTCATGCAAGGGGACAGGGGCTCGCCAGGACCCCCGTGCTCAGCCCTCGAGACCCCCACGGGGGATGGAGCTCCACAGGAACACCCAGAAGCTCCATGGAACCGCTCCAACCCACTCTGGAATGGCTCTGCACCCTCCTCGCTCCCCTCCCGCACGTGGGGCAGGCGACTACAAGCAGCAGCAGTTGGCTCAGGCGGTCAAGCCGCTAAATAAGGACTCAAAATACCCCAAGATTAAATAATAATAAACTATTAAGGGAAGATTAAGGGTCTGGGCTGCACGGCTGGCTCAAGCAACTCTTCTGCATCCACACGGGGACCAGAACCCGCAGCAGTGATTGTGCCGTTCTGGGACACAGCACCAGGCTCTGCCTGCTGTAAGGGGTCGATGGCAAAGCTACAGGGCTACTGAGAACAGAGGGGACACAGTGCTCCCCCAGCAGCATGTGGGCACAGAGAGGACACGGCGGGGGCTGTGGGCCAGGCTGGTGGGACTAGAAGCCCTTCTCGATGCTGAGGGTGCGCCGGGTGACGTGCTCCATCTGGCCTGAGATGTACTCGGTGAGGCTGATCTGGTAGTTGGCGAGCATCTTCAGCATCAGCCGTAGGTTCAGCCACCACTGCTCCTGGGGCA